AAAGAGAAAGAAGTCATACCTAGTAGATCCATGTATATGAGAAAAACTTTAATAAAAGCTTGCTGCCAGAAATATTAGAAATTAATGACTGTATAAAGCCTCGCAGCTAACTTTTTGTCCTTAATCAGTATTGGAAGATTTAGTGTTAGGGAAGAAACCTAAAAAGAACAAAACAAAAGAAAAGCCTCTGTCCACAGAAAGAATGTCACTTTTAGAAATCACCGAACACTAAGAATAAATAAGAATAGACTTGTAAAAATGGCTATAAACATTTTAAGAAGCTGGAAGTGATTAACTGTCATTGCTTCAATTCACTACTAAGTGAAACAAAGTTTCTTGCCACTAAACCAGATAGTTTCCTGCCATTGTATGGGTGACAGATCTACAATCTATAAGCACCTGACTTGTGGTGGCCCCTCTACTGTTATCACTTTTGAAGATGGCTGTAGCTTTGACAGATGCTCTCCTGACCGTATAACTGGAACTTTGGTTCTGAAATCACCCACTTCTGAGATTAATTCCAAGACTTGGCAGTTTCAAGTAACCACCACCACCACCACCACCACCACCACCACGACGTAGACAAGTTAAGCCAGTTTTTTAAAGCTGAAAAATTCTTCAAAGATGAAGAATACATTAGAGGCACAATTTATGAACAGCAAAGCTGAAAAGAAAAGAAAACAAAAAAACCTTGCAACTCTACTGACTCATCATCCTTAAGTGTATGTGAAACAAAATGCTTACACACTGAGATGGGCTGGAGAGACAGATAAGTGGTTAAGAGCATTGACTGCTCTTGCAGAGGCCTCGGCTGGGATACCACCACCCACATGGTCTATAACTTCAAGTACTAGGAGATCCAACACTATCCTCTGGTTTCTACAGGCACTGCATATCATATGCTGCAGAAACACGCGTGCAGGCAAAACACACACAAAAAATAAAAAAATAAATAAATCCTTAAAAAAAAAAAAACAAAAAACCTATAAGGTACTGGCATTTCCCTTTCTGTGCTTTCGGGACAACCCTGGAAAAAAAAGTCTCCACTCTACCATGCTTCACTGCCATGATGTACTAAACTCTCAGAAACTGAATGGAAATAAAACAAACCCTTTCACCTTTAAAAACATGGCGGGTGGGTGGGGGGAGGCGGAACAGAGGATGAGAGTAGGGGAAGGGAGGGGAGGGGAAGAAAGGGGAGGAGAGGGAAGGGGAGGGGAGGGGAGGGGAGGGAAGGTACTTAGCATCTAGGATGAAGTGTCTCAGTGTGAGCAAAGTGGTGAGTTTGTTAACCAGCACTACTTCAAAAATAAAGATCGGGCTGGAGAGATGGCTCAGTGGTTAAGAGCACTGACTGCTCTTCCAGAGTTCAATTCCCAGCAACCACACGGTGGCTCACAGTCATCTGTAAGGGAGATCCGATGCCCTCTTCTGATGTGTCTAAAGACAGTGTACTCACATATATAAAATAAATAAATAAATAAATCTTTAAAAAAAGATAAAGAATTGTGTGCTGGACACAGATTTAAAGGCAGCAGCGAAGCATATAGCAATTGGCAGTGGAAAGTGTTAAGGAAAAAGAGAAATAAAAAAATCAACTGTGGATAAAGAGAGGACCTGTTTATTAGTCAAGAGAGGGCACTTAATAAACATACACATAATTAAAAACAAACAATGTCCCCAAAAACTTACCACCTTCATCAGAGTAACAGTCTTCATGGTAAGACACCCAGCCAGCCCTCACTCCAGTCCTCTTGTGCACAGCCCTTCCAACCAGCTTACAAGGCTGTAATCCACTAACCTTTGTTCACCAGAGCACATTTCCCCAAACACACTAATGATGTGCAGTCTCACCTCCTTACAGACTGCTCATCAGTGAAGTCTTGATGACCCCATCAACACTGAAGGCCACTACCCCTCGTGTCTATGTTCTCCTCTTTATTTTTCACATAACGCTGTTTAACTCATTTCTTTGAAACATGCAATCAGGGGAACAAATTTCAGTGCATGTTTTACTGTTGTATCTCCAGCAACTAAAGCAGTGCCTAATACATAACAGACACTGGAAGGTATACTGACTGCATCACAACATAAACAGTTCAGTCAGATAACAAGTATAAACCATTGGGAGTTTGTAGAAAAGCAAAGAAGTCTGACGTCACCAGATAACTCAGGGAGGAAGAGGGAGGTAAGCATGACAGGCACCGGCTCAGGGATGAAAGACTAAAAGGATGTCATTTTGCTAGACCGGAAAGAGTAGAAAATGTGCTTAGAAGCAAGAAGAGGGCAAAACAATGAAGAGATTCAGAGCCTGCTTATCTTCAAAGCAAGTGAAACCACTGAGGTAGTTTGAGCAGTGGTCACAAGAACACATTTCAGTGTTGCCTACCATGGGTACCTAACAAAACAGACCTCAGGGGTCAGACAAATCACAGCTCCTTATAACAGTTTACCGGAATTGTCAAAGGGAATGGATACATGCCCAGGTGTGTCTGTGAGGGCTTTCCAACGATAGCTAAAAGGAAGACCCACTCTGAATGTGGGGAGCACCATATTATGTGCTGCGGAGGAGCCTAGCTGAGTGCCAGCTTACTCCTTTCTCTGCTCTATGGCCTACAAGGTAATAACTGCTCTGTTCCATCATGCTTCCCCACCAGGTCAGACTCTCTCAAGCCATAAGCCCAAATCTTTGCTCCAGGAAATTGGTTCTGTTGGGTATTTGGGCACAGTGACCAGAAAAGTGACCAGTATATACACAGACCAAGTGAGGGCACTGCTGTGATTCCGTGGAGGGAAGCCGGCTTCTTTAATTGAGGTGTTGACAATAGAAAACTGGGTGCAGTAGTGCACACCTAAAATCCCAGCACTTAGGAGGTGGAGGAAGAACTATCAGGAGCTCACAGTCTTATGTCTTCGGCTACACATATTGAGTTCCAGACTAGCTTGCACTACCTAAGACAATGTCTTAAAAGGGTAGGGGAGTGGGAATCAACTTGAAGGTTCAAGGCATTGTTCAATGTCCCAAGGAAAATTAAAAAAAAAAAATTCTCTTAAAATGGAAGCCTATGTCTTCAAATAACAATCTAGTTTACAAGGTCCAGGCTCCAAGTCATATATTTCAGAGCACATGAAAGAGGGCTACTCTAGGTAAAATAAAGCAGTCATCTAATGGTTAACCTGGAATTCACAAAACTTAACATGGGGGGGTATAAAATATCTCAATAAAAATTTTATTCTGATTAAAAGCTGAAATATTTTGGCTACTGGAGGTTAAATAAGTCATCAGTTGATTTTACCTATTTCTTTTTACTATAAAATGTGGCTACTACATAATATTTAGTTAAATAAATGACACCAGATTTCCATGGGTTAACATGAGTCAGATGAAAGAGCAATAATAAATATATTTTATTCAACAGGAAAAATGATTCTTAGAAGATTTAAAATCAAGGCAGCAGGGGGGCTTCTCAAGAAAAACAGAAATGAATACTCCGAGGTTTTTTGTTTTGATCATTTAAATACAGCAATCATTCTTTGTCTACCATCATTTATAGAGTACACAGTTCTTCTTAGTCTCCTATTAACTCAGTAACTATTTTTTAACCTCTCTGCATTGTTAGAGAAGGACAACGTACGGAAATGACAGGGCCCAGAAGTCACGCGGCCAGCTCTCCTGAGACACTAACACATTAAGTAGCCTACTGAGGAAAAGTCACAAGCAAAACCTGCTCATACTCAGACGTGCTGGACTAACCAGCTATGACAATATTCACTACAGACTGCACGTAACACAACAAACACTGCCCACTATTCCCAAAGAACCAATCATGAATTATCAAGTGGCTTTGTTTGGGAGACAAAAATCAAGTTTATATTCTTGCTCACTAAGAGCAAAACCTGTCTTTTCTGAATCTAAGCCTACTGTCAATACTGAGCTATTATAATAGTTTAGATACGACCTGAATGCATCCCTGAAGGGACAGGTGCTGTGGCCGAGTCTCCACTGTAGGGAGATGGGGGAAGCTTTCTGAGTCTCATGGAAAGTCTTATAGCACAGGGGAGACACAGGAGTGAGGGAGCTCTCTAGGAGTAGTTGTCATAAAGACACCCATGCTTGGCTCTGCTGCACATGCCACTTGCATTTCTACTTTCATGACAAATTGTAAGGCAGCCAAAGGCCTTCACTCAATGCCCAACAAGTAATACTTCCTGGTTCTAAACTTTCAGCTTCTGAAAATTAATATCTTAATAAACCTCCTCTATATAAAGTACCCAGCACCAGGCATTTTGTTATAGCAATACAAAATAAACTAAGACAGCTGTGTATAAAGGATAATTGTTGCTATTCCCTTATCAATGAAGAAAATTATTATTATACACAGGCTTTTAAAATGATAAACTATAAATGTACATAAGCACACACACGCACTTACAGTGAGTAGGTAGATATATATTAGTCTCTATTTTTATTGGGAGAAAAATGTGTTTTGTGATCCTCCTCTAAAGGGTCAAATTTGGGACCACCTAGCCTAGCCCTAAGTTCAAGTGACACAGGAAGGTAGAAAGAAAACAGACCTCATGCAAGTTGTTCTCTGACCTCTACACATGCATCCATACCACTTACAACACATGAGCACACACAATAATTTTTAAAAGTTAAATAAGCTAAAATAAGTCAATTATAAAAAATTTAGGTAGAAGGAAAGATTACTAAGTTATGTCTAATTTTCACCTTCCCATTAAAAAGTCCCAATGTCACGAGTAAGCACTTCTACAAGTCTATTACCTCCTGTAACCAAGTGATTCAAACATCCCATTTATGACTGAAAAATGCACTATTATGAATGGCATCTGAGTCTCCAAGACGGAATAGGTAAGTGACATTACAAGCTTTAGACATTTAATGATTAATACAAAATATGATTTGAATTTCTTAAACATCTTAAGATACGATAGTTTACTGTTTTCTATATTCAAAGAATATTCTTAAAACTACTTACATCTGGCTGAATAGCTTTAAACACTGGAACATCCATTAGTGTTATCTGACCCTGAAAGACAAAGGGATTTGGTTTGGTTTGAATGGCAATATACAAATAAACAAATAAAATACAAATAAATAAAATTTATTCAAAATAAAATAAAACTTCTACTCTACACTAAATTACTGAAAACGTAGCTTTTTTTTTTTGGGGGGGGCATGGTTTTTCAAGACAGGGTTTCTCTGTGTAGCCCTGGCTGTCCTGGAACTCACTCTGTAGACCAGGTTGGCCTCGAACTCAGAAAGCCACCTGCCTCTGCCTCCCAAGTGCTGAGATTAAAGGCCTGTGCCACCACTGCCCGGCAGAATACGTAGCCTTTAAGGACTTAAAAAAAAAATAGAAAATTTAGTCTTTGCACCATTAACTATAACTCCTAGTTATCTCCCTCCTGGGTAAGGGAAGGGGAAATACGTTGGCACTGTCATCCATTAGATGGCTCAGCAGGTCTCTTAGCAAAAGATGATTCCAACTGCTGGTCTCCACATGGCAGAGGCAAAGAACCAACTGTAAAGTTGCCCTCTGGCCTGTACATATGCACAATGGTGTATGAACCCCTTTCTCACACAAATAAACTAATGCGTGCAATAAAAAAACTGTTGAGGGCTGGAGAGATGGCTCAGTGGTCAAGAGCACTGACTGCTCTTTCAGAGGTCCTGAGTTCAATTCCCAGCAACCACATGGTGGCTCACAATCATATGTAATGGGATCCGATGCCCTCCTCTGGTGTGTCTGAAAGCAGCTACAGTGTACTCACAATTTAAAAAATAAATCAATTCTTAAAAAAACAAAACAAAACCAACCAACCAAACAAACAAACAAACTGTTAAGAGGAGAAATCAGGGAAAGGAAACACATACTCCAAACAAGAATACTTTACTCTTGGAATGTAAGAGTGGTTCAAGACCAAAAAAGCAATGTATTCAATTAATAAAAAGAGATCAAAAAAATCTAAATAAATGAACACTTATGTCAGTTAAAAAGATTTTCTAGATAATTTTATATTACTCATATTCCAATGGTTGAGAAATCAGAGTTCTCAATTTTTAAATTTCAAATCAGTAAAAAAAAAACAGTGAGCATGTTCATAGTTGCTTGGAGAGTCAGCACAGCAGCAATCGAGGCAACAAGCAGCTGCCTTTCAGAAGAAAGCTGCCCTTACCCCTCACCCCTCGTGTTCCATTCTCGTGCTATTCTCCAACAATTCCTAGATCCAGCTTTACAAACCCATCTCCTCCTCTGAGGAGGAGGCCACAGAATTCAACAATGATGATGATGTACACAAATTACATGCAAAAACTGGAAAGCAAGAGACAGAAAGTTTACCGCGTATTCTTCTGGCGTAACCTTCAGAACGTCAAATACCACAGCATCAAAGCTTTTCTTCAGTTCGGAGCCCTTCTCACTCAATGACTCAGAGCTGCTACTTTTCTACAAGATGGAAGAAAACACAGCCTTAAACATTGTCTCACAGCCTGTGCCATAGAAAGTAGACAGGCCTTTATAAACTGAGGAACTCTGGGGTGGACAGGAGAGCTGGCTAGTAAAATGTCTGCTATAGAAACATGCAGATCTAACTTGGAGTCTCAACATCCATGTAAAATCTAGGTAGAGTGTGCACTCCTACAACCCCAGGGCTGGACAGTGCACAGAGGTTAAGAGGATCCATGGAGTTTGCTGGCCAGTCAGAATAGCTAGATTTTAATTAACTCCAGGTTCAGTGGTAGGATCTGTCAAAAATAAGCTGGGGAATGAATAAAGACACATCTATATCAACCACTGGTGTTCACACGCACATGAGCACCTCACATGAACATGCATGAATACACATACTCACACGTACAGGCACACACGCATGCTCATACACACACAACTGAGGAACTAAGAACACTATGTAATAGAAGACATAGAAAAGCTGAATAGAGCATGGTGCTTAGCTGGAGAAATGCTAATATAAAGCCAGAAATTTTGAAAGCTAATGTTGAGTTTGTATTTCTTGGGTTCCTATGTAAGTCACTCCTTTGCATGTCTCTTTAAACAAATTCTCATTTTCTGTAGCTCTAACATGAGATAAAGACAACAGTGTCCATCCACAGTTATGCATCACTTAGCAATTCTGATACTGTCAAAGTGTGGTGAACAGTCTCGTCAATTATTGGTATCACAGGGTACTTACACAATCTACAATGGCTACACCATAATCACGGCACCCTCATTACACACAAAGTTGCTGTTGACCAAAATCCCATCATGCAAGGCATGACTATATAGCTTTTAAAACGAGGAGAAATAGAAAATACTCTTGGAGCATATATCAGAAGAAAATATAGAAGATTCCATTTATTAAATAATGGCATAAGCCACTGTATTTGTTAATATATGTTACTGGTTCGTCCTGGTTATGACTTAATCTAGGGAACTTAAGTGAAGAATTACCTCCATCAGACTGGCCTGTGGGCGTGTCTGTGGAGCATCTTCTTGACTGCTAATTGATATGAGAGGGCCCAGCTGCTGAGGGGGCACCACCCCTAGGCAGATGGATCTGGGCTGTAAGAAAGCTGCTAGAGTAACTGGGAACAAGCCAGTAAGCAGCTTTCCTCCAAGGAATCTACTTTAGTTCCTGCTCCTGCCTCCAGTTCTCCTCCTTGAGTTCCCGCCCAACTTCACTCAGCCTGTAAACTGAAATAAACCCTTTCCTCCCCAGCTGCTTTTGGTCACATTGTTTATCTATCACCCCAACAGAAAGCAGCTGCAATAAGACTGTTATCATTAGGGTAGGGCTGTTGCTGTGACAGACCTGACCATGTTGATTTGGGGAAGAATTTTGGATCTTTGGGCTAGAAAAGCCACTGAATGCTCAGAACTTAAAGGGCTGTTCTATAGGAGCTTAGATGGTAAGAATACTGAAAGAAAACACAGACAATGGCGGTCAGGCTTGTGAAGTCTGAACAAAGTCTAGACTATCAGGGCATGGAATATTCTGGATTAAGGATCTATGGGATAAACCTGTGCTGAAGAGTAATCTGGGACTACTAAGAGTCCAGCATCACTGAGGCAAAATCTTCTGGGGAATATTTCCTTAAGGACATCACACAGCGAGGTAAGGCTGACTCTCAAGATGGAAGCTGAATACTCTAAGAGTGTCCCACATGGTACTGGGGTTGAAGGAAGAAAGAGGTTATGGAGAGTACCTGAAACTTTGCACACAGTAGGGCTGGCGATCCTCCAGAGAATCCAGGAGTGGCCATCAGTAAAGGTGCAGCCCCAGTTGCAGTGGAACTTTGTTTCTCTCTTGAGTTGAAGCCCCAGGACCAAAGGGTCTGGGAGAGAACTGGCTTGGCACCATGGAGGGCTGGAGCCACTCAGGTGATGCCTGGAAAAGCCACTGGGGCAGAAAATCCTGGACTGTGTAAGAATGGAGAAAGCGAGCTGAGCTCCAGCTGGGTGTTCACTGCTCTCTGCTCTTGACTAGAGATGTAATGGGACAGGCTGCTCCAAGTTCCTACAGCCCTGACTTCCCCACAGTGACAGACTATCATCTTAACTTGCGAGTCAAATAAACCCTTTCTCCCTAAAGCAGCTTTTGTAAAGATATTTTATCACAGCAGCAAGAAATAAAGATAGAAAACAGTACTATAGTGGGTTTGATGCTGTGATAAATGTGACCCCGTGGTGTTTGGAACGTTGTAACTGTTTTGTAGGAGGAATGTACAGTTTGGAACTTTGGCCTGGAAAAGCTACTGAACATTGTCACCAGAACTAAGTGCGCTGTTCTAAAGGAGGCCAACTAGAGAAGAACACGAGAGACACAAAGAGATTGGAGGCCCAGACCAGGAGGCTTCGGAAAGGAACAAGCACTCCTTGGAATCTGGACTGGGGTGTGTAGGACATTCTGGCAATAAATATGACTGTATTCTGTCTATGTCCTGACAGCTTGAATGAAGCTCAATTTAAAGATAATGGACTTATTTGACAAATCCAAATCTGTGCCCTAAAAGACACAGACGGTACTAAGGAAGAAGTCAGTTGGTTCAGGTTAAGTATTTTATCCAAAAACTTAGCACTTTTAAGGAAATCTGCACTGATATATTAACAAATCTAAACCTTTTAAAACGAAGTAGAGAATACATGTTTTTATTGTATTGTCTTGCCACAGTAGAACTATTTAAAATATAGACCTTGTTGACCTTACTTGTCATACAGAAAGTATATTAGCCTGAAGCCTAACATAATTCACTTACTTTTAGAAGAAATAAATTATTATGCATGTAAAAGGATTTGTTTTTATCTGATAAATATTTGTATACTGCTTCCAGTGAATTACAGCAGGTGTCTCTGGATACACAGTTACAAATACACTAACCACAGACACATGAGACATTTAAAAAATATAGTTATAAAATAACAAGTAAACATACAAACAATCTGTCTCAGGGAAGAAAAACTTTGAACAAATTTATATAATTTGGTTTTTAAAGTCATAGTTTCAAAAATAACTCCCATCTGTTTATAGGAAAAGGATTTGTTAAAAATACAGTATTTGAAATATATCTTGAAAGACAAAATTTCTTTTCTATGTGGAAGAAAAGGAAGCACAGGAAGAAAGAAAAACCCCATGTGTAAAAGCTGACTCAGGCAAGTTGTAACAGAAGGGGGAAACGCCAACTGCTTGGGAAACATCAACAGAAGTGACATTCTCTGAATAAATGTTAAATTTCAAACAGTACTAACGGGAATTAAGTTCACTAGAAAGAAAATCTGGAGGGCTGCCCTAGATAGCTTGTAGGTTAAGTAGTCATGCTGGCTTAAGGACCTAGCTTGGGTCCTAGGACCCAAAACAAATAGCAGTCATCCAGTCACTGGGGTCCTGGAGCTGGCTGGTCAGCTAGTCTGGCTGAACTAGTGAGCTCAGGGTTCAGTGAAAGATCCTATACTAGTCAGCTTTTATCTAGTCATTTTTGTCTAACTTGACAAAAATGAGAATCATCTATGAAGTGGGAACCTCAAGAAGTGCCATACTGGACATGGGCATGTCAGTGGAGAATTTATGGGGGAGGGCCCATCTCTAGACTGGTGGGCCTGGGCTGTCTGAGAAAGCAAACTAAGCAAGGCCAATGGGAGCAAGCCAGTCAGCAGCGCATGCACACACTACGACGTAACAACTCCTAAGAATGAAAGAATACTAATTACTATTACATTTTATATAAATGAATCAGGAAAAAACAAACAGAAAACTCGGGGCAGGTACTGCAGCACGCGGCTATAATCTGAGCATTTGGAAGACAGAGGCAGGAAGATCCTTGACTACACACTTGGCTTGAAGTGAGCCTGGGGTCCATAAGATGTGGCATTTCTAAATAAAACAAAACATTCTTGAATAAATTTGACCTCTTCAGTGAGGGCAAGATCTATGACTGGCTTATTCTAATGAAGAGAATATGCAAAAAAGGGAGGGTCTGACTTCCATGATCACATCACATAAGATTATAATTTTGAGCTTGCTGATAGACTCTGTTGTGACAAAAGGGTGTGGTGCCCAAAGCCACTCAAACAAAACAACAGCAAAAATCTATCTTTACACAGGAAGCTATGAAACTGTCCTGCTATTCACAGACATCAGGAAAGGGGTTGTCAGGCTTGTTGGTTAAGACTATTAAAGTTCAATACAGTCATGGGATTGAGGAATTAAACAGTATTCTCTTCTACCACTGTAAGAAAGACAAAAAAGTAGGAAATACTAAAACTTTTAAGGAACATACTTGAGATCTGTATGCAAAGCAAAATAAAATGACGAGAAAAAATAAAATCACGACACGTGAATGCAAGAACTAACTTCCTCCTTCGGTCTTAACATCCATTTCAACTCTAAACTACATCAGCAATGCAAACCATTGCTTCCCAACTGGTAGTTCTGCTCTCCAACAGTGTTAAAGTCAAGGTCTTGAAGGTACCTGTGTGACAGAATATCCTAAAACAGCTTCTTTAAATACTGATCCCAATAAAGAGTTGTAAGCAATCATTATTTATTATTGTTTTCAAGTATCTTAAGCAGATAAAATACTTGTATGATACAATTAACGTGTGAATGACAAAATTTAGTTCTTGTTTTTGTTTTTTGTTTTTTTAAAAAAAGGTCAGGCATGTCCTGTAGTCCTAGCACTCGGGAGGTTGAAACAGGCAGATTGCTGTGAGTTTGAGGTCAGCGCGGTCTACAAAGTGACATCTAGGCCAGCCAAGGTTATGCCATGAGATTGTTTCAGAACAAATTAATAAATACAAACCTTAGAAGTGGCTCTGTGGGTAAGAGAGCTTGCTCTCTAAGCATGAAGTCCTGAGTGTGAGTGTCCACTGCCCCCACTGTCTCGTGGCACAAAGGCAAAAGGTGGTAGAAAAGGACACCCAATATCCTGCTGCAGTCTCCACACGCACACACCCAGGCATGTGAGCTTGTACACTCATATGCATACACCATACACACGCACACAAATGGTAGTTCTCAGAAAAGTAAATACTGTATATTCTTCTTGGATTATGAAGAATGTTGTTTAAATATAAATACACATGTATGTATATACAACATGAAAGGAGCAGGGGACAGTAAGTGAGAGAGTGAGATAGCTGTAGAGAAGGGAGAGCTGCACAGTGGGGGCACACACTTCAGTCCCAGCACTCGGGAGGCAGAGGCAGGCGGATCTCAAGTTCAAGACCAACCTGGTCTACAGACCAAGTTCCAGGACAGCCAGGGCTAAACAGAGAAACCCTGCCTCAACAAGAGACAATAAAACCTACTATTCTGCCTGATGACTAAGAAGAGTAGTTGAAGACAAGCTGTGTAAGTGGCCTAGTCCTTTGTTCAAGTTGATTTTAAAATGTAACCAAATATAACCTTTAGATGTTTAGAAAACAGAGTAAGAAACTTTATAACAAGGGTGCTGTGTCTCACCTCGGAAATAGTAGCTGCGATATTAACATTGCTGGCCTGCCCGTTCATTAGGTCCATGCTTTCCTCATCAGCCCCTGAGCCTATAGTAACAGCAACAGAGGTCTGATTACTTCATGTCCAAGGCCACAAATACATCATTCCTGTTGGAAAAACAAAGAAGAAATTAAAATGTGTGTCTTTCTCTAAGTTCAAGAAAACAGCCATGACACTGGCGCACTGGGGAAAGGCTGTGACTTCTCAGGTCTTTATTTTAGCCAAGCCATGGTGTTCCAAGGATCAGAATTACAATGGTGTCAGTACTTGCTACCATTACAGTCTTCATAAGTAAAATAAAAGTATTACCTCCATGACTAATAGTATTTTTAGTTTAAACTAAATAACAAGTATTTAAAACACGGCGAAGTAATACACCCCCCAGTTCAGTTTTCAAGATTTAGATGCAACCTCTAGATTAACAATGCAGAAGAGACTTGTCATTATTATTCCTCTACCAAGACACCACTAACACTTAAAAATATTACAGGACATGTCACAAAAGAACAATCCATGACATGTTCATTTGTGTAGGGAATTAAGGTTTGTTGAATACCCTCAATCCATTATCTCACTGAAAACACCAGTTAAGAGAAAATACTGTACTCATGATCTAACAAAAAATGCCATTACTATCCCCTACAGCACAGACAACAGCCTCTGGGGCAGCAGCAGACAGGTGAGGACAGAGGACCTGTCTAAGATGCTAGCCAGGTATTCTTTCCATTAACACCATTGTTTCTTTCCACCTTACTAAAATCACAATGTTCACTTGAGATTTTACTGTCTTTCCTAAATAACACAGTATAATTTCTTCTTTCCTGTAAAATAACAGGGTAAACAGACTAAGTCCATTTCCAAATTTAAGTACCTATTTTTATCATAAAAGAAACTGTACAGGCTCTTTCTCTTGCTCTCTTGCCTCTAGCTTCTCTCTGTCCCCTCGCCTCTCCCCACGTGGTCATGGCCGGCCTCCACTTCTCTGCGCGCTCGCTCTCTCTCTCTCTCTCTCTCTCTCTCTCTCTCTCTCTCTCTCTCTCTCTCCTCCTTTCTCTCCCCACCTTTGCCCTCTGCCCTGAATAAACCCCCTCCCCTTTGGAAAAAAAAAAAAAGAAAGAAACTGTACAGGACTTATGTGGTCAGTGAGCATCACTTTACATAATCACTCAGATCAAATGCTGGGACCTACAGCTGGTAGGCTCAGACTTCCAGTGCCCCGATTCCAAAATCTTTATATATTAATCTAATTGTGAGTGATACACTGGGCAGACTTAGCCCACAGCCAATTCCTGGCCTCAGACATGTTCGTGCGTCATGGAGTAGACATGGCTACAGTAGGTGCTATGAAAGTAGCTATGACTGGAGCAAGCATTGATAAGGATGTCTGCTTATTACACTCTAGGTCATGTGTCTGAACCAACAGGCATAAAACGTTTCCTCCAAAACATCAACAATAATGTTTATGCCACCTCAGCATCCTTCTCTTGAATATATTATATGTAATGTTATATGTAATATTATATTCTATTGTATGTGACATTCTCTGATACTTTCTTTTTTATCTAATTGATTCTGTTAAATAAAAGTAACAGATTCTGTTTTTTAAAAAAAAAAGTATATAAATCACCAAAAAAAAAAAGAGAGAGAAAGAAACTGTAAGTTGGGTATTCTACACTATTTACCATACAACTAGAATGTATAAGTCTATACTGTTCCTGATACTCTACCAAGTCTATTACTCCCTTCCCTCTACAAAGCTCAGGCTCTGCTGGTCTAGTGATACAAGCCTGCAATCCCAGCAGGGCAGCAGTCTGAGGCAGGATGATCACAAACTCAAGGGCAGACCAGACAACTTACTAGAAGGGAGAGGGGAAGCTGGGGATACAGCTCTGTAGTAGAACACATAAGTCTAAGGATCTGGGTTCAATTCCCAGTACAGACTCCCCTCCAACTCCCAAAGAAATCATGAGCTCTGAAACAAGACTGCTTATAGTCTACATGCAAACACGACAAGTCTTTGTGTACAACTTTTCTGTACCATCTCCTTAGGTATAAAATGGGCAACAATGAGTATCTACTTCACAGAGCTGTGGTGAAGAGCTAAGATGTACTTACATATGGTAAATGTTACCGTAACAATGCAATGAGGATGCAAATTTTTTCACTATCTACTTAATGAACATAAAGTTTAACTGTAATAGTCTTCTAAATAAAGAAAAAAAAGGACAAAAACTGTTTAAATACACTACTGGCGATCAGAATATATCTGGTGAGTATCATAAAAATCCTAACACGGAAGGAATAAGAATGTTCCTCAGATGGACCAAAACATGGCTCCTGGGGTTTCAAAAGCTTCAAAATTACATTTGTCAGTTATTGCTGACAACAGCTTTCAAGCACATGTTAAATTATCTTCATTTCTTCAGATTAGCCTTAGTACTTTTGAGGAATAAAACATCATTCTACAATTTTTAAAATAAATACATTTGAATTAAGAGGATTTTGGAACCATTTACAGAATCAGTATGTACATGAACAGCATGAGGCTTCCTTCTAGCTCACAGGATCTCACCGCACAGGGTCACACACTGCTGCAAGGACCAGGCTGACACTTGCCTGCTACCTAAAAGAACAGTTTGTTCAGTTTGTGCTAGGTATGGTGAGCCACACCTGTAACCCTGACCCTAGCAGGCAAAGGTCAAGAGGTCTCAAACCAAAGACCAGTCTAGGCTACACAGAAAGTTCCAGGTCAGCCTGGGCTACAAAAGAGACCCAATCTTAAACAAGTTAAGTATTTTAAAATCTAGCTTTATAATGAATCATAAATTAATACAATTCAATCAAGTTTTCTCTGCCTGCTTTCAACTATACTCCTGGGGTAGAGGGAGGTAGTTTTGAAACCACACCTTACTCTGCAAACTAGACTGGACTGGTCTAGAACTTACTAGAGACTAATCTCTAATATTTTCTGGCAATTGCACTCATTTTGTAATGAAGTGTTTTCAATGATTTCCTATACTGTGACATATAACAAGAATCCATAAATCTAGAGAGCCCCCTAGTGATAAGAAAAAGATTTTGATTTAATTGTAAAAAATTTTTATCTTTAACCTACAAGTTAGATATATAAATCTTACTATTTACTGAATAAAGGTAATATAGACTAAGAATAAGCATCAATACACTTGAATCAGATCTTCTTTGCTTCTCCCAATCTGTTAGGCCATCTGGAGTCTATCTCTTAAAGCCATTTCTGGTACAGTACTACATGATTATCTTTGCTATTTATAGGTCACAAAAGTTCAATTTATTATGATAGAAATTTCAAAAGAATGGGTTCTGATAAAGATCTGGGTTATAAAAGGTTCCCTGCCTAACATCTCCCACAAAGTAGCATTTTCACACTGTTCATTTTATCTTTCCTTAATCATCTTTTAGTTTCTTGAAGTTAAAGAATGACATTTTTTAAAAGAAAATTTAAAAACATTATCCTAGCCGGGCGGTGGTGGCGCACGCCTTTAATCCCAGCACTTGGGAGGCAGAGGCAGGTGGATTTCTGAGTTCGAGGCCAGCCTGGTCTACAGAGTGAGTTCCATGACAGCCAGGGCTACACAGAGAAACCCTGTCAAAACAAAACAAAACAAAACAAAACAAAACAAAAAACAAAAAAACCCAACCCATTATCCTTCATCTTTGCATTCATATACATATATTTCACCTGATTATCTACTTACTACATACCTGTTGAAAGAATAAGTGAATGCCTGAGCAAAGCAACCATTAGGGCAAGATTATATACAAGCCAGTAAAAGCACTGGTATTTAAATATTACATACAAGCACACGGATGACAGGTAAGATTTAGTTATTTATCATGGATGATGAACATTTCTAGCAACACAGTTGACAAAATAAAAACACACTGTGCTTCATGAGAAACTTAGAATGAGAGTCTGAATTCTAATTCTCAGTTGAAAAGAAAAGACAAGGCCACTAAAAAAATAAAAATAGAACCAAGACATACATTCTCCTTCTAATCCCATCCCCACCCATCTCCATTTGAAGTAGAGGCAGAGGTCAAGGCCTGGCCCATCAGTGACAAGATGCTCTGGAGAAAAATGTGTCTTGGCCTAGGAAGATGTGCAAACTTATCTGTGTTGGCCTGGGCGTAATGTTGAGGTCAGAAGACAGTATCTACCCCTACTATCTTTATTCTAGGTATGATATCACACAGACACAGAACCTGAATTTATATTACCATTATGGCCCAAGATCCTCACCATAAGAAATCCACATTAAAATATGTTCACATGGCCAGGCATACCCCTGTGACTTTGAGGTCACCCTGATCTACATAGAGAGCTCTAGGCCAGCAAGGCTACATAGTAAGACTCTGCCTTAAAAATAAAGTTCACAACAGTTGTAATTCTTCAACACAGACACACAGTGGAAACAAAATCTGATCGAGGAACACATAATATATAACAGTCAAACAAAGTCCCACTGGCAGACTCAATACGGAAGCACCAGCAGTTCTGTGAGCACTCAACCTACTGTAAACTAAAGGGAGCAACAGTGACTGTGATTACCTCTCACAAAAACCACCAGATAGAGCCCACGTAGCAGAAAGGACTGAAATCAGTGGTCTTCAAAGAAGGAAGGCATAAGGAGAAATAAGAGTTTAAAGCAAAATTAATATTCACTACAGAAGAATCATACCAAATTCTACTCAAGAGGGAATTCATGAGGTCAATAAACAGGAAAGTAACACACAAACCACTGTCCGGATGGGGACGCCATGTAAGACCAGAGTGAACCCTAAGCACCCTGAGAGCAGATCCAAAGATGATAAAAGAAGGCAAGGCTGAAGACAAAGGCTGAAGAGTTTCCAGAACTCAGAAGATGGGAGGGACTCTTACTCGGGGTCACCCTTAAGCAACAAAAAGAACCGTATTTTTCATGTACTACTTTAAACTGGCAAGTAATTCTTTTAAAAGCAAGTGAATTAAAAAGCAAATTACTTATGTAGGAACAACAACAAAACCCTCAAGATTTCACATCACCACCAACAAGAAAGCAAGGGCTTCAAAGAGCCCAGAGAAAACAGC